TGGAGATCTGTGCTATTAGGGGCGTAGCTAAAAATATTGTATTAAAAAGAGTTTCTTTACAAATTGGTAAAAAGCCTTTTTTAGCAATCCATATATTCTATTTTTTTTTTAAATTGGCTATACACCACTTGATAGAGCAATGTTTCAGCTTTAAGAATCTGTATTATTAATTGCGATACGATGATTTTTAACGGAGTTGTGAGCAATAAAATCAAAATATTCCTTTTTACTTAATCTGCGAATAACTCAGAAACAAAAAAATCATAGGAACATTTTTAAAAAACGATAGGGAAAGTTTAAACTTTCACAATAGATAGTAAAAAATTTGCTCAAATTTTTTTTGGGCACGCTATAGATTTACAAAGTGACAAATTTTTTTATTTTCTTCAGTTCGTAGTTTTCTATATGTAAAAATTACAAAACTTACATAAATTTAAAAAATATGTAACCATTTAAAAGTAGAGATTTCAAGCTTTTTTAAATTTAAATATTGATCATTTTTAATGAAGATAATAATAAAGAAAGATCTTTTTATTAACTTGTAAAGACTTTTTCTCTATTCCAATAATTATTACCAATAAAATTATTATTAAACGATTCCGTAATTTTTAAAAATATTTCTAAGTTTTTCGAAAATTTTATATATAGTAAAAAATATTTTGTATTTGCGCGTGCGCATGTGCAAAAAATGGCTTTTCGATATTACGTTTAATGTAAATGTATTGAGGCTGTGAAAACTAGACTTGGTTACTTGCAGTAATACGTGGAGGAGATAACGCACTTAAGTTTGTGAAGAAATGGCTTAAAAAGAAACAGAAAGGGAAACTATAGATTTGTTGGCGTCGTATACGAACATGCGAACACGTTCCAACATGCTTTTGCCATAGTTCTTACTCTAAACAAGTGTGTTGACTACAGTCACATGACTACTTATAATCACGTGTAAGCATCATGGCAAAATATCTCGAAATCTATAAGTTTCATAAAAAATGTTTCAGATAAAAGTAGAGTTTGAAAAGGTCTACTGACTTTATCAGTTCAACTTGGGATGGCGTCGTGAAAATCAGAGTAAAGTCATCTCGAATTTTTTAAATGAAATCCTCCCCTTTTTCTTTTACATTCTTATAGTCTTTGTTGAGACCTTTTCAAAGCTATAATTTTATCCATTTTAGGTCAGCCGTTCCCCTCAAAGCTATCGAATATTTTAGAGTAAGATGTCAGCGACTATGTATAAGCGAATCAAAAATATGTAAATTGTTCATTTTCTGTTCTAAATCTTATGTGTTTTGTTTAGCAGGTCAAAGTAACAAACATATATAAGAAAACCATCCGATTTCATTAGGAGTCAATTTTACATTTGATTATGCGAGGTCCTTTAATAATTAAAGTAATCAAATGTAAGGCTCTAAAGAATTAACATAATAGATACTTTTAATAAAAATTTTTATAATGATACATATGGACTAAGTTAATACAAATGTTCGTGAGTACACATTATAATTTAGGAGTCATATATCTTTGAGATAAAAGATCTGCATATAATTCACAATTTTATTAATACATTTATTTGGAATTAAATTTACATACAAAAAAAGGAATTAAGATGCACTCGACTAATTTTACTGATCATTGTCATCAGCTCATGTTTCAATTTTTTGTTTAATATATTGGATTAGGGAGAAAAGTCTTTTCACACACACATACACACACGCGCGCGCGCGCGCGCGTGCGCACAAACACGTATAATCGATAGATGGAGATTGGTCGATTTTTTTACATGCCACTATTGTGTGTATTAGATATTGTGTATATTATCATTAAAAAGGTGCTATTTTTCATATAACATTTTGAAATAGGTTAATGATAGATTTGAACTATACTGACGCATTCAATCAAATTTGAAAATAAATGAAAATCAAAAACTTCTTTCCGACACATTTATACTTTACTCTTTTATTATAAAAAAGAAAAGAATGCTGCACAGAAAAAAATTTGTCGTGTTTATGAAAAGAATGCTTTAACTAGACAAGCAGCAGCGAATTAGTTAGATTTCTAGATAGCACATTTCAATGTCAAATAATATCGTTCTGGTCGGCCTATTGTATCAAATGTCAATAAAATTTTCCAGAAAATTGGAAAAAATTGTCATGTAAACAGTTATAACATAGCTAAGAAGTTAAACATTGATCATAAAATCATGTTTTGGGACATTTGCGTACAAAACTAGACATATAAAGAAGCTCGATGTTTGGGTGCCATATGATTTAATAATAAAAAATTTAATAAATCGAATTTCTATTTGCAAATCACTGATAAAACGAAACGATATTGAGCATTTTCTGTAAACATTGATAACAGGCGATGAAAAGTAGATAACATATGATAATAATGTTCGAACAAGATCATGATCAAAGAGGCACCACAAACAATCGCAAATCCTAAATTAACGCCAAAGAAGGTGATGCTCGTACACATTATTTGTTTATTTCAAAGAAAAGTTGTTGACTCTTACTTTGCCCGTCTCTTATTATTATTTGTTTTTTGTATGTCTGGTAAAACTGGAAAGGAGTCGTCTATTATAAATTGCTGTCACGGATAAAAACAATTAATTCTGATCTTTACTATCAACTAATGCAATTGGAGCAATCCATTCAGAAAAAACAGTCATAATTAATCAATAGAAAAGGCATTGTCTCTTCTATCATGACAACATTAAGCTACACACGTCTTTGATGACCCGATAAAAATTGAAAGAGCTTAGCTGTGGAGTTTTGATGCACCCACTGTACAGTTCTTATCTTGCATCGGCCGATTACCATTTGTTTCGATCTTTGCAGAATTCCCTTAATGGAATAAATTTGATTTCAAAAGAGGCCTGCAAAAATCATTTATCTCCTTTTTTTATCGAGAAATCACAAAAGTTTTGCACCCCGATGGAATAATAGCCCTACTATTATACTCTTTCTCTCTTATTGAAAAATGGCAAAAGATTATCGATTAAAATGGCATATATTTGATTTAATAAAAAGTTTGTAAATTTAAAAAATATAATTTATAAAAAAAACTTTTTCCTTAATCCAATATATCACTGAGGATGACCACATTAAGAATCAAAACGTTTGAAATTTAATCATTAATGTTTATTGTCTTGTATAATTCGCATATGACATCAGCACGGCTCGAATAACCTTAATATTGTAATATTAAATTTAAATTTTTTATGTTTACATTATATTTGTTTAAATTTTTTAATTGTTTACATTATATTTGTGTTACTTCTAAATATATTTATCTTATATTAAATTAACACAAATTTTGGATGGCTCATTTAGAACATGTAAAATGTGTTAAATTTAAAACAAATTTTCCAACTGACTTGTGAGTAGAAAAGAAATAGAAAGATATATATAATAAGTTATCATACGCTACTTCTTATAGACATCTTGTGAAACAATAATGCCAAGGTTTTAGTTTCCAACAGCCTGAACGTCAAAGAACATATAGTTGCTATTTTCGTCAGCAGTCTATAATTACAGCTTGATAGTTGTATAAACACCCAATTTATTCCTCGAATATCAATTAATTCAATATGATAAAAAGAAATTTAATTATATATATGTTAACTTCTATTAATATTTTCATATTTTTAGATGTATTTTTAAATTTTATAATATTTTTGAAGTAATCAAATCTTCAAACCATATTAGTTTTTTTTTAATAAGACTAATAATAAAATTATCGCTGAACTATTGCGCGAGTACCTGGTTCACATTATTGAAGCTCAGCTACAAAGAATGACCTTCTTTACAGTCACGAAATAATTCATTTCTCGAGCTTAAGGTTGAACAACGTTGTTATAAGCCCGTTAAGAGCCTTCATTTGACTTCCACCACGTACATATATGATCGGAATAATCATTAGTCAAAAGCATTAATACTTTTATAGGTAAGGAAAATGATGTTTACAATAAAAATAATAGGCAATAAAGACTTTAAACGGTCAAGCTGAATATTTAATGTTTAAATATAATTTGGTGTGAATTATATACTACATTTCAAAAATTTATTCCTGCAAAAATTAAGTGTTGAATTTAATTTTTAATTTGTAGTCAAGTTAAAATAGAATTTTTCTGCGAATAAACGGAAGAGCTGAATTTTTTAGGAGAGCTTTATTTTGGCATAACAAATAACGACACAAAAATCCCTATCGGTACGTCGTACAGAAAAGCCGTTATATTAAAGAGCAATCTTAACAGAACGAAATCAAATGGTAAGGACACCCACACAGAATATGAGAGATCCAAATTCAAATCCCAGCCAAGATAATATTTTTCGCAATAAAATTATTTACAGATTTTAAGATGCTTATCAGCATTAAATTATATTAAAATTTTTCTAAGACGTCTATGAGCATCAATATTAAATTAGTGGTCAATTTAATTTATTTAATTTATAATATCACGATGATGATCATTTTAGTTTTGTTAGGATTGCGTTTGAAGACTGAAAATTAAATTCGGCGCAAGTTTGCAAGATTGGATATGTAGTAAATTCACATCGAATTATTAAAGATCCAGCTTGAGCATTTAGCCTTTATCTCCTATTTATTGTGTATTCACATTACAGTCTAAAAGGATATTTTGTTTAATATCGTTTACAATTAAGTTCATTTGCCTCATTTTCCAGAATAATTATAAAATAAGATAAAATAAAATATATGAAAAAAAGGAAAGTAGATAAGGATAAAATAAAGAGATAAATTGGACAAAACAAATTAGATGAATTGGACAAAGCAAATTGGATGAATGCATAATTTCTTCATACACGCATATCTTTTATGGAAAATAAACTAAAATATAGATACAATAAATATATTAAAAAAGGATAAAAACTATATAATATTCTTCTTTTCTTGTTTGTAATAAAAATTATCATAAATTTTATCATGCAAGTTCTCTTATCATATTTTAGCTTTGGGTTTATCGGTTGTAAAGAACTCACATCCAATAATCCGTTTTCGAATATCATCAGGCCGAGTATTAATCTGCATTGTTGATCCATTACTGTTGCTCATGGTCGCCATAGGTATATCAGTAGGATTAACACGTGATTCAAACCTCGCCACCTAAATAAACAAAGTTCCGTAAAAAATATATCTCATTAGTTTCTACATTACTAATATATTTTGTATCATCTTCAATGTATAACAACATTTCGTTATTGATTTATTTCAATATATGTACGAGTAAGTACAACACACTGGAATACACACTTCTTTGATTTTATATTGATTTCTTACTTTATGTATATATTATGTGGTTAGAGAGAAAAAATTTACAATTATTATAAATATTATTTAAGAAATTTCTTGTCTAAGATCTTTAGTTGTATGTATTAGAGGAGGATTACAAAAACATTGCAAGAATTAAGTACATTACAAGATTACATACATATATGTATGCTACAATGTAGATTACAGAAATATTAAAATGCTTGCTTAAAATATCAAAAGAATTAGAATGCAACACTATAACTTAGAAATTTATCTTATATAGGTGATGATGCATTACAGTTATTAAAAACAATTACATAACAGAAAGAAAGATTCGTTATAATCCGAAGAAAACTATAAATATATATTACATATACACATGAAAACGTTCACTTTAATTAATTCTAATGTCTAAACCCCTGGTGGAAAAAGTTTGCTGAAATTAGTCCACGTTTTGGAACACTTTTTGGGAAAATTTCAGCATTCGGAAAAATTTAAATTTAATTTCAACAATTTTTAGCTAAAAAAAATCATTTTTAATAAAATTTCAGAGAAATTTCGGCTCATTTTCAATATGTTAACTAAAAATTCACTTTTAGTAAAATTTCAGCAAATTTTCAGCAATTTCGCTGAAATATTTCAAAACGTGAAATAATTTCAGCAAAATTTTTTTACCAGAGACATTATATAAATTATTTTATACATAAACACAAAATGTCTATTATTTATAAAAATCTAGAATTTCTATTTTTCTATCTATGAAAAGAGAAAAATCATAGAATTCTTATCAGCAAATTTTTTCGAAATTTAAAAAATTTTTCTTGAAATTACTTCTTTAAAGATCTTATTTTTATTTTACAAATATCAAATACTGTGATAATTTAATATTAAAGTACTATATAATATGTTTAACATTTTTAAATAAGCTTTAATAAATAAAAAAGAAATAAACAGTCTAGAGTCTAGCCCAATCAAATTTTACTTTAAATACCTTAAAAAACGCTTTAATTTTATTGAAAAACTTACATAAAAAGCATATACTTTAATTATAATTTAAAAAATTATAATTAAAGTTATAAATAATAATTTAAAAAAATTATAATTTAAAAAATTTCTGTAAATATTTGAGAAATAAAAAAAACTTAGAAAATTTTTACCAAAATTTGAATAGATATCATGATAAATTACGTACTTTTCTTTAAATACATAATTATTTTCTTACTTTTATTGTTACTTGTATCGTGTAATGAAAATTCGCGAAACGATTTAATAATCTATTTCATAATATTACATTTTAATGGGCTATAGTTAATGTGTTAAATATTAAATTTACTGTTATTTTTGAACAAATATGCACAGATATTCTTTTCTATTACAAATCAGTCCATTAAATACCCCCACTGTATTTACAATATTATTACATTATAAGTATTATAGTAATTTTACAAGCAAGTGTTGCAATATTAAACTATTATCTCTCGAGGAAAATTTCGACACTGCTACACTCCGACAGCATATTACAACGCAACAGCATATATTTACAACCTCACAAATACCTCCTGAAATACCTCCGCAAGCATTCTGCACAATTTTTGAATTATTGCAACGCGATATATTTTCACGTAATTGAAAATGTTTCCTACATTATCGCTAAATTCTCTGGTGGAATTTCACAACTTCGTGTATCTATCATTCGATTCCGGTCACTCGATATGCGCACTACCACGTTCATAAACAAGATAACATATGTGAGGTATAAGAGTGATTGATGCATATCAGTGCGATCGCGCCTATTCTCCACTACGGATGCAGTGCCATGTGACGCGACAATTAAATCACGCATCGATTCAAATACATCCGAGAGAGAAACTCAACATTCTTATTTCGTGTCATCTCTGAAGCTATCCCAAATTCTGTTGCAAATTCGCGAATTCGCTCTTCTTATCTATTTTTGACAATCCTTAAGAATCCAAAAAAATAAAATTTTTTCAACATTAAGCAATAAATTGGTGTGATGAATATAATTGGATGACGAATTTGATTCAGAAAGAGAGAACGATTTTTTTCACCTTGTCTCACTGTGCCGACGCGTAACGTTGACAGGAGTAGAATAAGCAGGACAAGAGTGAAGTCGTTGTCGCGGCGTCGCGGCACATTATAGAACGGTCCGGGCGGCGGGCGCCGCCCCGACCTACGAGTGGGTAGTGCACGCGACTTCGGTGCGCCTCGCGGTTACAATCCGCCATTATACATATAGTACCCAACATTTATTCGCTTGTCATTTTGCAGTGTGTGTATATATACTCATCATATTTATCCACGAACTATTAATGATATTATGTCGCAAAGTTCATCCGTGGCAGATTGAGACAAAAATTTCACCCAATTACGCAGCAATATTTCTCGCATTCTTTTCCTTTGTTTTAAAATTATACAATTATCGAATGCAATTTATCAGAGATATCTTATAATTAAATGTATATGATTAATGTTTTTAGAAAATTATTATTAGTTTAGAAAAATGTATCATATAATATAAAATTATATTATATTTTTTTGCAAAATCTTGTTGATATTGCATTCCTCATTCAAATATCATTATAAAATTCCAATGTAGATCAAGACAAAAATATTTCAGATTACGCATCGACTACATGATTAAATTTAGAATGAATTATTCTCAATTATAAAAATAATTATAAAATATTTCTCAAAAAGAAAAAAAACTTTAAAAAAAAGTTATAATTTTTAAAAGAGGAAAATGCTTGAGATATCAAATGAATTTCGTTATAAAGTATGCTAGTGGAAAATAACACATAATTGGAAGTAGAACATAATTTATTGATAAAATTTTACACGATAAGATCTTTTAAATAATTCTTTGATAACACTCTTCTAAAAAATGAATTATTCAATTACATTTAGTATATAAATTAATTCTCAGCCTTTTTAGTGAGAATTAAAATTTATTTACATAGATAATTCTTTAATAACACTCTTCTAAAAAATGAATTATTCAATTACATTTAGTATATAAGTTAATTCTCGGCCTTTTTAGTGAGAATTAAGATTTATTTACATAGAATGTGATTATGTTCTAGTTTGAAAACTAATCTCCACAATATTGACACATTTCTTCAATTTTTCAGACAGCTAGCGGATCCCAATTTAAAAAAAAAAATGACGGTTTTGAGTTAAAGAAATCTTCGATTTTTTCGTATGTGTGAGGTGTTAGTCCAGATCTACAATAGGTGTTTTAAGCCTTAAGCCGTAAGAAATTCACCAATTACAGTCGAATGCGATGAGAATAATTGATTCGTCCATTTCTTATAGCTTAAGGTTTAAACATTAAAAAATTGTATATTCGGACTTAGTCTGCAAGATGGTGTTGAACGGAATAAATGAAAATCTGTCGGTGCCAAAGACCATGGCACATAGAAAAACCTAAGACGTCAGACTTATCCCGCAAACATAATAGAATAGTAAGACTTAAGCCTTAAGAAATTGGCCAATTGTTGTCGATTATTTTTCTCACATTCGATTGTGATTGATCATCTTCTTAAAACTTAGGACTTACGACTCTATTATATTTGCAGGATTAGAGCTATGGCACACAAAAAAACTTAAACAGTAAAATGTAAATAGTAAGTGAATTGACCAATCACAGTAGAGGCCATAACGTAAGCAGTAGCCAACATGTTGATTTTCTTATTGCTTACGCCTTACTGCCTTAATTTTTTTGTATGTCATGGCCAAACTGCCAAATTAATTTAAGAGAGCCGAGTGAGTTGAAGGGTCAAAAAGTTAATGATATTTTGTGAAATTTTTGGGGAAAATTAGATATGTCAATTTTAGGTTTAGATTTATATTTTATTTGCACTTTGTACAATATGTATGACCCAGACAGCACAAAATATTTATGTTAAATATTTATTAATATTAATTTTTTTAAATGTTATATAGATATTTTATACATATTTTATATAAAATATTTGAAATATTATTAAG